AAGAATGTTAGGTCTTATTGCACCAAGGAAAACAAAATTCTTTAATTACAATGAGAAGTTTTTGTCATAATTTTATCTTAATCTTTTGGATAATTATGTGTTTGTGTGTTAGCGATGAGTATGTGCATATGAGCACAGGAACCCCAGGGAGCAAGAGACATCAAGTCCCCTGGAACTGGACTCACAGTCAGCTGTGATCTGCTCTGTGTGGGAGCTGAGAATTCAACCCCAGGCTTCTAGGACAGCAGCAAGCACTCTTCTTAAATCCATACAACCCAAAGAATCATTAATTCAATTAGAGACTCATGTGTGGTCCATTTGCTTTATGTCAAGATCAGAGATATGTCCGGGTGGTGGCGGCACAAGCCTTTAAAGTCAGCACTCAGAAAGCAGAGGCAGGTGGATCTCTGTGAGTTCAAAGCCAGCCTGGTCTACAGAGAATGAGTTCCAGGATAGGCTCCAAAGTTAAAGAGAAACCCTGTCTCAAAAAACAAACAAACAAACAAACAAACAAATAAACAAAACCTACTGCTTTGCTGGGTGGTGGTGGCACTCGTCTTTCATCCCAGCACTTGAGAGGCAGAGGCAGGTGGATCTCTGTGAGTTCAAGGCCAGCTTGGTCTACAAAGCTAGTTCTAGGACAAGCTCCAAAACCACAGAGAAGCCCTGTCTCACAAAAAACAAAAAACAAGCAAACAAATCAGAGATGTATATGTCTCCCTCATATCACTTTATATCATAATCTCTTCTTCACTACTTGATGTAATTGCTGTTTGAACTATGTAGAAACATTTGAACTTTGCAGAAACTTTTGTCCTCTTATTTGCCCCATTTTTACACAATTAGATATTAGTTTTTCTGTATGCAACTCTGCACATTTTTATCATGTAGTCTTTATCTACAGACAGCCACACCTTGGTTTCCCGAAGAACAACCTTCTCTGTAATGACTACTTTCTGCCGTGTGTTTAAGTCAGTGCAGTACTTGTTTGTATTCTAGATGGAAAGTTTTGTAGATATGTCTTTGAAGATGAGGGTGGCTTCCAGTATCTCCCAAACCTGTGTGCATCTAATGTGACACTTTGTATGCAGAGTGTTTAACAGATGCCTCAGAGTCAGCCATGCCTCACCCTCATTCTTTTGCTATCTTCATAAATATCAGCCAATGGTTTTAATTGAAAGCACCAAGAAAAGTAGGACAAATTAACATCCTTAATCATATCAGTTTCCCCCCATGAAGTTAGGGAGTCTTGCTGGGCCACCTCCCCTAGTAACCATCAGCTGCCAACAGTTCCACAGAAAGGAGGGGGATATATGTGCCCTTTGTTCACCTATGTTGGAATGTTGACTGGCTTGTTCTTGTATCAGCCATATGCAGGTAGGTAACTACAGCTGCTAGGAGTTTGTGGCTATAACGTCCCTACCATATCCAGAAGACATTGTCTTGCAGCAGTTTTCCCCAAGTTCTGACTCTTACCATCCCCCCTTCTGCATGTCCCCTGAGCCTTGTCGGGAGAGATGTGATATAGTGTCTCTTTGTGACTGAGCACGCCACACACACTGCACTCCTCACTCTGTCCAGTTGTTAACCTTTTTGTCAGTTGCACAGACACTTCTGGTAACTGAGCTGCACTAACCTATTGGTATAGATGTTTGCATTTGGAAGGCAGTTTGATTCTATTTCATTTTCACAATAGTAGGTTCACACCTGGGGCCTGTGAGCTCTAAAGCTACATGTTCTTGGCCAGATTATGTATAAAGCTAGAGTTTTCTCCCACGGGGTAGAGGCCTAAATCCTATTATAAAGCAGCTGATTATCTCTATAACATTCATACTACTATTGCAATTTACTAGGGTGGTCATTATTGTATTTCATAGGGTTCACAGAAAGCTATCATTTCCTTCTTTCATTTTAATCTCATGTTCTTCTATTGCTAGTTCCAGTTTCTCTTGACTGAAGATATAGAGTCAATATCATTGAAGTTGCCATTGGATTTTGAATAATGCTCTTTTTAAAATTCATATGTTCTTAAAAGTCAACTTTTTTTATCTTGAAAAAGGGCATTTCTCAAAAACCAAGCCCTTTCAGTTGCTCTTGTTCTTTGACTTAGTACCACGGATCTGAAGACTGATTTGCCATGGCTACCTCAGTAGCTGTGTGTACTACAACAGCCTCAATTTCCTTACTCTTACTCAACATTCATCTCTTCCATCATCTTTCTAAATCAGTGGTCTTTGCTTTCCACAGACACACTGCTTTTCGAAATTACCAACTGGTTTTAGCTCTCACTGTTGCACTAATATGGATATCACTCTCGGATCTGCTTCTGCAGTATTTGACAATTTGACCCCTATGAGGAGTTTTGAAACATTCTTCCTAATTTTTTTCCAGAATGTTATGGAGTTTTATTTTTCTGATTTTTTCCAGCTAACCATCTTAATTTTCTTTCATATATTCCTTAAATGTATGTTTCCTACTTTAGTTTGAATAGGCTGTGAGTGTCCCCTATGACTTCCTGTTGACATTTGACCTCCTATTGTGAAATATTAAGAAGATTGAAACAATAGGGTAAGATGTTTACAGATGTGACCTTTGGAAAGCAACCAGCAGTAGCAAAAGACATTGGAGATGGAACTGTTTACTAGGTCCTGGTGACTTCAGAAGGACAGAGGGAGAGCATGTACACAGATCAGTGGCCTGTCCCTTGCCATGTGATGCCTTGAACTTCCTGGAATTGCTAGCAAAAATGGCAGAGCATCTTCACAGGCCCAAGTAAACTGTTTTTTTTATGTGTAATAGGTGTTCCACAGCAAAACAAACCAGATCAATCTGTCTTCTTTACCCACCCCTTGAAGACACCACCTCTCAGCATTTGTCCTTTCCTTTAGTCACTATATCTATTTGCACATTTTCACATAGCCATTTAATTGCCACAATTGCTGTAGCTGATGTCCTTCTGTGTGTGTTCCTATTAACCCTTGACAGACTCCTGCCACAGGATGGCTGTTCTCTCTTGAATGAGCACCCAGAGGCATGACAAGCTTGCTAACTGTGGTGATCACCTCCTCTCCCTGGCAACGTACCCCGTGCTTGCTAGTTAGTGCTGCGGAATTGCAGTGGATGATCCTATCCCGCTTGTCTTATTGCATTCACCTTGCCAGTGTCTGCTGAAAGCAGGTAATAGCTCACTAACACAACAGTGCTAACTCTCGAGAAGTTTCAGCTCACTGCTGAAGCACAAGCCCATAGCAACCTCGAAAACAAAGTTAATATTTGCCTCTCTCCTTGTCCCTCCTCATGACAGCTATTCCTTGTGCTCTGCAGATCCAGGCCCATGGGATCTCAGGCCTTTAGCTCCTACATCTCATGGATTCCTTTGGATTCGTACTTTGCCACCCCAGTCTCATTCCTAGAGTGTTATCCATTCAGGTAATTAATCTCAAGAATTAATGTCTGGTATTAGTAGAAGTGACACTCCATCTTTCTGGAATTCTGTCTTGCGTCAATGGACTCTGAATACCAAAGGTTTGCTGGGTTATTAACTGAGTCTCTCTCAACATGGCATGAACATAGGTCTTCCTCTTTCTCGAAGGCTAATCCTCTTCATAAGTTTGCTGCGTCAAGCACTATACAATGTGTGTGGAATCCACAGGTAACTAAAATATATCCTACCTTCAAATGGTTAGAAAGACCGTGAAGCCACTAATAGAAAGAGCTATAAGGAGCCAAACAGAAGATCTAGGTCACATGACAAACTTACTTGTGAACCATTGCTTGCATATTCATGCTCTAAGACTGTAAGTTCCTCATGGCAATCATGTCATCTTTTTGTCATTAATATCTTGCAAAGTTATGGGCCTAAGTAATAGAGATGATCCATCGTCACTGGCCTGGTAAATGAATGATGCTTGAAGGCGGCATGGCAGGCCTGTAGTGGACTTGGTGAGCAGATATCTGTGGCGTCTCTAACCTCAAAAGTCTCCTCTTGGACTGGTCCCAGAGATTCTGGAGTTCCAGAGCAGGGAGTAGGAGAAGAGTCATCCTCATGCCAACCCATGAAAGTGACTGCTCGGCATACACAGGCTGTGTCTCACTTCTGGGCAGACCCTGTGCCTAGCATAAAAGGGCTCCTGTACCAGGCTCAGTACTCCTCACCAGTCCCCAGCCTCACCAGTTTCGGTGCCTGCTCCTTCTGCTGAACAGGTGAGTGCTAACAAGGAAGGTTGGGGAGGGAAGCAGAGCTAACTGCACCAAGGGGGACAGAAGAAGGCCTGGAAGTAACGAGACTCCCTCCCAGGGAGTGGGACTAGGGTGAAGGGTTCCTTAGTCTCATCTTGACCTAGGCCTGTGACATCTCCCGACCTCTCTGGGTCTGGTCATGCCTGGAGCAACAAGTACTGGGGTTGTGACTGTTTCAGTTTGGGACAGAAAAGCAAGTGGGGAAAAGTGGCAATGGGGGAATGCACGGAACCAGGAGTGTCACAGAGTTGGGTTGCTGGTTTCTGGGTCTTGAACATCTTATCCTCTAATGGTCTTCTAGGAAATGTTCTTAGAGAGGACAGGGTCTCACTGATAGGTATAGGAAAGATTGGTCCATCACAGTGAGATGCCTGAGTGCTGAGGAGCCCTAGCTCAGAGCCCAGGTTCTATAGGGAATATGTGTCAAGGAGTGTGGCAGAGGATGGTCAGAACCACTCACTGGTAAAAGAGGGAATATGAGAGCTTTACTGTACCAGATTTCACTTCATATCAGCTGCCAAGTTAGAGTTATAAACCTTGTTCATGGAAGAGCTTATCCTGAAATCAGCATCTAACAGAAGAGGACAGATATATCTGCTTGACACCTGTACTGATGGTTTTTACATTTCTCTTTAGGTTTACAGACATCCTCTCAAAAATGTCCTGCCAGCAAAGCCAACAGCAGTGCCAGCCCCCTCCCAAGTGTGCCCCCAAGTGCCCTCCCAAGTGCCAGACACCAAAGTGTCCTCCTAAGTGCCCCCCTAAGTGCCCTCCTGTCTCTTCCTGCTGCAGTCTGGGTTCTGGGGGCTGCTGTGGCTCCAGCTCTGGAGGCTGCTGTGGTTCAAGCTCCGGGGGCTGCTGCAGCTCTGGCGGTGGTGGCTGCTGTCTGAGTCACCACAAGCCCCGCAGATCTCTCCGTCGCCATCGTCACAGCTCTGGATGTGGTAGCAGCGGTGGCAGCAGTGGCTGCTGTAGCAGCGGTGGCAGCAGTGGCTGCTGTGGCAGCAGCGGTGGCAGCAGTGGCTGCTGTGGCAGCAGCGGTGGCAGCAGTGGATGCTGTGGCAGCAGCGGTGGCAGCAGTGGATGCTGTGGCAGCAGCGGTGGCAGCAGCCAGCAGTCTGGGGGCTGCTGCTGACCTGGGTCATGAAGACTTCAGACAAGCAATAAAGGAGGAAGCCATGTTCAGAGACCTGCTCCTGCCTGCTATTCATCCCATCTCCTCCTGTCTTCCATGTTCTGGGCTCTGAGATGATGAAATTTTGTGTGAAGTTTCAATTATCCCCCTAGCCACGCCCGCCCTTCTGTGATTCAAAATAAACTCTTTCCTACCAATCTTCATTGATCTTACTTGCCTTCCCCAACATCCTACCCAAAGGTAACTGTTGGCAGCTGGGGTTCAGTGGTTGCCTTTTCTGGAAATAAGCCTGGTACAGAAATGTGGGTTGAGGCAAAGTGTGGCTGATGAGCCAATCCATTTCCAAACAGTAGGTAAAACATACTATCCTGGCTGTAAGTTTCACATTAGCGAATGTATCTTTTGATATTGGCGTGCACATAATTATGTGTGAAAAGGAAGCATACCTCTGAGAATTTCTTCTACAGTGGTAGACACATTTGGTGTGAAGAAGCAGGAAGGGGTGGGGCGAGGCACGTAGCTAGCGGCAGGTCACTGTCGGAAACACAATTTTCATTTTAATTGGCTCCTGCATTGGTGTTTGTTTGTTTTGGGTTTTGCATGGTTAAATTTTCTCAAATAAATGAGAAACAGATGGGAGAACCAACTAGAAAATTTAGGAGAGTCTATTGGGTACACCTTTGTCACTTTGAAAAAAAACACCTGAAAAAAGCCAGTTAAGGAAGACGTCATATTTGGCTCACAGTTTGGGGCTACAGTCTGCCATGATTGCGAAGGGAGCTTGTGGCAGCCACTCATGCTGCACACGCTACAAAGAAGCAGAGAAAGAGGATGCTGATGGTCAGCTCGCCTCTCATTATTCTTGTTGAGGACCCCAGAACATGTAATGATGTCACCCAAAGTCGCGGGAGGGAGAAGGCACTATCCCTCTTCTCTTAAACACTCATAAACTCATCCAGGGGTGTGCTTCCGTAGTGATTCTGACTTTCATCAAGTTGACAATAAGGGCTAACCATGACAGGCCACAGGAACACAGAGCAGAAGGCCTTTAGAAGAACTGCTTCTGAAGTCCTGGGTTCCTACGATCCTCCTTAGGGCCCCAGTGTGTCTTCTCTGTAAAAACTTTTAGTGCTTTCAAATTTTTTTCAGTGGTCCTTTAAATATGTTCTTTTGAAACTCTGTTTTCTAAATCAGAAATTATGTTTCATAAGTTTAATTTGCTCAAGTTCACACAGCAAGAGCACAAGCTGCTCAGAGCCTCCCCATGCACTCATTTCTCATTCCCTTCTCTCCCAGGCACCGCGTTTCCGCCCTCCGCAGCAGTGAAGGGTGTGTTGAGGCTGTCAGTGATTCTTCCGTGATCCCTTAACCCGATATAGTTTCCTTCCTGCACACAATTATTTCACTCTGCTTTCAGAACTTCCTTTTCCTGGGAAAGCAGTCTCCTGTTTACATGTTTCTCTGTTGTCTGTGTCTCTCTACTTTTACATATGCTTCAAGAGAGAAGAGGCTTGTTTTCAGGGCCACCATGGAATCTTCTGTACCTAGAATGTGCTTACTTTGTGCGACAAACACAGCTTCTAAATGCACATGAGAGTCTACATCTGGCTCTTGAGCTTCTGATGGATCATTATAAGATTATTATGAGATCTCATTCTCAGGGGTTCAAAGTTTACAGCATGAAATTCAGCACCTGCCTCCATTCAATAGATCTCTCTCATTCAAGGGAGAGGTATCTTACCTTTCCAGTGGAGGAAAGAAAAACACATCGCAATGTTCTTCCTCTTGCAAGCAGTGTTCACCAAATCTTACCACTCCTGCCTCTTGAACTTGTCTACTCACCTCCGTGTCAGCAGTTTTAAGAGTACAAGCTTCGTCTTTCTGAGCACTGGCTGCTGAGCCTTGTGCTACACTTTTCTAGTCTGTTCTCCACACTGAAAACCCAATAACCTTCACAAATAAGAATTTGAGCCCAGCTTTACACTCTCAATTGTCCAAGGTAACAAGGTCTTGGTGTTCTTTGCTTTGACTTGTCTCTGCTCCATGGGGACACCAGGGCTCATTGTTCTTCCAGGAAATGCCTAGATTACTTCTGGTTCTTGCTCAGAAACTCAGGGGCCCAATAGGCATAATTCTGAGAATTTGGATGCCACAACCTTCAGAGATTTAGCTTGAGTGTCATCTGCCTCCTTATCAAAATGTCACAGGGCACAGCTAGGAAGTTACTTCAGGAGACTTTTAACTCTACAGTCTGTAGTCTATTTGGCTCCCAGCGATTATACACCTCTTTTCCCGAAGAGAGGTGTCACATGGAGCCTACAAAGTGTCATGAAATGATGGCAGAGATGGCATGATTCTAGCCATGCTACCACAGTGCTGTATTCTCTCTCAGGTAGGCCAGAGTCAGGCCTTCTTTCTATAGAACTCCTCCATCTCTGTTGCATGCTTTGTGCAGTGAGAGTCAACAATGTCGCTAATCCAAATGACACTCAGCCCACTGTCTAAGAATGGTTTTCAATCAAGCAATTACTATGCCCATTCACGCATGTTGTCTTGAGAGTTTTATTATGTCATGAAACATTTTCATCAGTGATGTGCATTTTGATTGTATGACTTGAAGTAAGTTATGAATTTAACTGTGCTTTAATATAGTCCTTGAAAAGGGGAGAGAAAACCAATTGTCTATGTTCTAGTCTGTTGAAAAAAATTGAGTCAATATGTGCAAATGATTTTAACATCATATATACGGCAGCTTCCTTTGCCAATTTCACAACTTTCTAATAACTACTGGTTTTAAATAACTCAATGTAAATCTGGTCCTAAGTCCCAGTTAACATCGACCCCTGCAGGCTAAGGCTTTGTCCTGCTTCCCTTCCTCTTACTTCATCTTCCCTTTGTAAAGTGGTTCCTGGTGTAATCATTCTTCTGCCTGGGTGACTACAGACTTCCTCCTGAGTTTAGCGATTTGTTAGAACAATTCTTAGAACTCAGCAAGGGTTCACCTACAATGATGCTTTTGTTATTAAAGTTTCAACTGCATAATAGTCTAATGAGAGAGATGCTGTGTTAGTCAGCCTTGTGTCACCATGGCAAAATACTCAAGCTATTATAAGGAGCAAATTATCTGGGCTCGACCTTTTGGAGGTTTCAGTCCATCCTTATAGGATGAGGGATTGAGTGATGGAAGAAACCCTCATTAATGTTTAAAGTAAACCAAGAAAACAAGATAAAAGGTTGGGGCCCAATATCCCGTTCAAATACATGCTTCTGGTAATTTCTTTTCTTCTCTTTAAGTCCCATGCCCTAAAGGTCCCACCACTTCCCTAAAGCATCTCAGGGGAGGGAATCTAGTCTTCAACAATTGGTCCTTTCAGAGGGACACTTAAATAAATTGTAGAAGATGCATAAAGTCATGTATAGAGGGAAGGGGGACAGAGGTCTTTTAAGCCCCTTTCTTCTTTTTCTTGGAACCCACTCTGATCCCACAAGGGTAACATAGTTGTGAACCCAGAAGCTTGTGAGTGATGTTCCTAGAGGCTTTTGACATAAGTCAACCATCTTGGCGAAGATGAAACTTCCAAGTCTCCAATCATGTTCCTACTTTCCATCATCTTATAAGTATACGCTCAGACATGTTCTAAACTTTAGAATCTAAAGGGTCTTGCTGTGCCACACCAACACCAGTGTCGTCTGTGTAACACTGCGTGACATACGTCATTATGCCGGATGGGAGCTACGTGTCCTATGGGACTAGGCTCCCTGGAGGTCAATGGCAGACAGTCCTGTATTGGCCACCCTTGGGGCATAGATGGGTTTCTCGATTAGCTGGCTATGCGGGATATGGGCTTTGCACAATCTCTTTTATAATAATGATATTCTTCATATCTACAATACAACGATTATCTCTTCAGGAACAGCTCCGGGATAGGGCAGCACAGTTTGGGAATGTATAAGACTACAGCAGAACCTTTGTCATACATGGGGTGTATGATGAGCAAGGGAATATGGGTTAATATTGATGAACAAAGAGTTTTATATTATATCTTGAACTTTATGAATAGGATTGCTAGTTCGATCCTAACCCGCATGGTGTCTGCTGCATTAGAAGGTACTAAAAAGAATATTTCAGCAGGTGCAGAGAGCTGTTAGGCATATTTGGTCACTAAATGAGATAAAGAAAGGGTTAGAAAGAGGAAGGGCCATGATAGCGATAATGACACAGAAACTTTCTATTCATAAGATGAAACCATTTGTCTGAGGTTTACGTTCCCAGGACAAGAGTTCCTCTTCTAAGGATGTTTTATGTCTAACATCTGTCCCTGATAATATGCTTTTCTTATAAATTGCTGATGTGACTAAAAGAAGCTTTCATACCGTGCCAATCAATGATACACAACCTTCTGATTTTTTCTTTGTTTGAATACTATATAATGAAAACATAAATTCAGTAAAATCGCAGCAGATTCCAACCACTCTCTTGTGTGTTGTGTCTGTCTGTCATTTGCTGAACTTGGGCCTTCCTGTGTACCAAGACCCTGCTTCTCTCATGGTCTGAGTGGCTCCCCTGAGCCGGTCCATGGCATTGCTGTGAATAATGAAGGACACCCCAGACTCCAAAGAACACCCAGGGATTTTTGATGTTTTGTGCTATGGACCAGGGAAAAATATTAAAACAAAAATCCTACTGGAATAAATTTATTACATGGAGTGTGGTTCTTTTGCCAACACCATTGAGGTCAAACTATTATGAGAACAACATCCCTAAAACCATGGTCACTCCCAACAATGACCTTCATTCCATGAACAAACCACCCTTAACTCAGTCCTTATTATCCCTTCCCTTTCTAAACACCTGAGATCCCTGCAATAAATTCCACAGTGCTGACACTCTATACTCCAATGAAGTTTTTGGTACTATAATTGTTATGAAAGACTCCCCGCTGGGCGTCTCCCCTTGGGAGAGACCCCAAGCCCAAAGACCAGTCGAAAGCACGCAGCCGGATGCAAGCA